TTTCTCTTTACATTCCACTAAATCATTCTGTCTTCAGAACCCATAGATGGGGAGCAGGAGATTGGATTCTACATGGAACACTGTTTTCCTTCAGATTAAAGGGAAGACATTGAGAAAAGGGTGACTTAATTACTATGTATATAATATGAGGTAGATTCAAGACCCTCCACCCCCATGCTGTTATCCAAATATGCTGAATGGCAGGTGGCCACACCCCTCACTGTCTTGGTCATGTGTCTGGGTTCACACCTTAATTTATACTTCCAAACTCTTGGGCAAGTCTCTTAAATTCCTTAACCTTATTTTCCTCAATTGTAAAATCAAGGTCATTCATGTTAAAGGCAAGATCAAATCTACTTCACAAGGTTGTTGTGATGATTAAATAATAATTTATGTATCTTAGCTCACATGGTAAATCTCTAAGTGAGGTATTTTATGGCACTCCCCATCGACTATATTGCCAAAGTGACAGCATAAGTGAGAGAAGTCAGAGCACTAGGATCCCACTTTACGTTTATTCAAGAAAAATCTTGACTGGATTGTTTATTTTGTTTTTGTTGAGTCCTGTGTGTTCTTTGTATATTTTTGTGATCAGTCCTTTATCAGCTGACTGGAGTACAAAGATTTTTTTCCCAATCAGTGGGGTGTCTCTTGATGACTGGATCAAGAAGATGTGGCATATATACATAATGGAATATTATTCAGCAATCAAAAAAGATAAACTCCATTCATAGCAACGTGGATGGAACTAGAAGGAATTTTGCTCAGTGAAATAAGCCAGAAGGAAAAAGAAAAAAATATCGGATGGTTTCACTTATAGCAGGAATATAGGGGAACCAAATAAGACATCAGTGTAAAACAATAATAACAGTACAAAGCACAACAAAGCAAAAATGGACAATTATAAATCAGAGACATCCTGCAGGGGAAGAGGAGGGAGAGGGATCAGAGGGAGGGAAGGAGGAACACAGGGGACAGAGGTGATGGTGCATGGGTGCATTGGGGAAGGAAACTCCATGGGGACTACACCTGAGGGAGTGGAGGGAAGCAAATATTGTTTAAAAATGAACAATGATGTAAAAAATAAAAAAATAATATAAAAAAGAAAAATCTGCTTCACAATGAGATTAACTCTAAGCTCTTTTTTTTTTTTTTTATAGAGGCATGCTTTATTTATTTATTTATTTAGTTAGTTTGTTTGTTTTGTTTATACATGCACTGGGTACAGTCAGAAGCGCCGGAGGGTGAGAGAATTCACCAGAGCCAGAGCGGGGAGCAGAGCAGGCAGAAGGACCGAAGTACACTGCTGAGGGGAGCAGCGGGCGGCAGGAGAGGTCTGCGCGCCATGCGGGACCCTCCCCCGGTGGCCGGGGAGCAGCCGGGGATCGAACCGGCACCGCAGAGGTTGCGGGCAGCTTCGCAACCGAGCGCTCAACCGCTGCGCCACGGGGGAGGCCCAACTCTAAGCTCTTTTTAAAAAACATTTATTTATGCATACAAGAACTGGGGTACAGGCCAGAGATGGGGGGGCGGTGAGAGGATTCACCAGAGACAGAGTGGGGAACAGAATAGGCAGACTGACCAAAGTACACTGCTGAAGGGAGCAGCGGGCGAGTCAGGAGAGGTCTGCATCGCCATGTGGGTTGCCCCCTGGCTGGCCAGGGGATCGAACTTGTGCTGCAGAGGTTGCGGACAGCTTCATAGGGTTGCATCTTAACCCCTTGCGCCACCAGGGAGGCCCTTAACTCTAAGCTCTTTGAAGAAAAGCCTTATATTCCTTGGTTCTAGCCACTAAATCTAAATGGGCTTTGTGCCAAAGGTCACATATCATGCAGCTTAATGTCACACTTCACCTGTGCATTCATGTATTCATTTGACAAATGTATATAGTGCATGCTCCATGCAAGCATGGGTTTAGGTGTGGAAGATTCAAAGTTTGCATAGGATAGATATGATTTTTGCCCTAAAGCTGCATGTAGCTTTACACTGGTGAAACAAAAGTAGGTGGCAAGTATCTGAGATGGAGCAGAGAATTTGAGAGCATCTCACACTTGGTACCTGGAAATTGGCAGGCTTAATTGCTTTGGTGCTTCAAATTATTTCTTTTATGTTCCAGCACTACAATTTGTCTTTCTAGAACTCTCTCCATTCTGCCCTCTGTACCTCAGGTATTCCTTCTTTTCTTGAGGTAATTTCACATTTAAAATCTAAAGTGAGCTAAATTCCAAATCCTTTCCCCTTCTCAACTGCAGGAACTCCTAGAATCCTGAAGGGGGAAGATGGAAGATTCTTAAAACACACGGCTCTCACCCATCCATGTTCCTCCAATGTGGGAGTGGGAGACGAAGGGGACCACCGATTCTAGGCAACTCTCGGCAAGCAATCAGACTTCTAGAAAATGTAGTCTAGAAGTGGGTAGACTCACAAGGTCAAGCTTGCTTACAATTTGAAGAGGAATCTGTGACTCCACTCTAAGGCAGTATGCAAAATGTGAATTTTTGTGGGAAGATGCATTCAACAAATACTCAAGGGGGCCTCCCCGGTGGCGGTGGCGCAGCGGTTGAGCGCTGGGTTGCGAAGCTGCCTGCAGCCTCTGCAGCTCCGGTTCCATCCAGGGCCCTACATGGCCGAAGACCTCTCCTGCCGCCCGCTGCTCCCCTCAGCAGTGTGCTTCGGTCCTTCTGCCTGCTCTGCTCTCCGCTCTGGCTCTGGTGAATTCTCTCACCCTCCCGCGCTTCTGACTGTACCCAGTGCTTGTAAAATAAATAAATAAATCTTAAACAAAACAAAACAAAACAAAAACAAAAACAAATACTCAAGCCTTAACCAGATACAGTTTTACTGGGAATATGGCAGTAAACCAAACTGTCAAAGTTCCTTGCCCTCCTGGAGCTTACACTTGAGAGGAAGACATCGACCATCGGTTCAGTTTCCAAGAAGGATGTGATGCAAAAAATTCTCCGGAGTCAAGATGTTATATGTGTGGTTTTCAATGTTATGTACCAACACCACTTTAGGGGAACCTTAACATTTCACATGGTAGAGTCCATGCCTGAGGTTCTGACTCAATGGGTCTGTGTTACGGTGGTTGGTAGAGGTAGGGATGTGTATTTTGAAACTCCCACTCATTTTGACTCAGTCAAGTTTGAGCAGAACTGATTGCTTCTGAGAAAAGGGATTAGAAATAGTTTTTATCACCAAGAACAGTCAAGGAAAATCAATCAGTCACTTCTTTTTTCCCCACAAATAGTACAAAGCAAAGGGATTTTCAATTCTGGATATCCCAAGAGAGAAGTATTAACATTCTCCCCTTATTTTTATTAGCATAGAATAGCACCCTACAAACAATACTTTTAAAATATTTAAATATATGTCTACCTATATGCCTACATATAGGTAGACAATATATGTCTACATATATGTTTCAGAAAGGAGGGGAATGTATGCAGCATGTGACTTGATATTGCTCCACCACTACCACTACCACTATCTCTACTACCACACATTTTAAATTACACGCAACTTTATAAGTATTCACTTTACAAGCTGGAGGCTTTACAAGTGCTTTCCCATGAAAAACTCCCAAGGCTTTGTGAGGTATTGTTACACTCATTTAAAGGGGGAAATACAGCTTTTGAGAACTCCGTTTGCTCAAGGTCACACAGAGAGTGGACCAGCGGCAATTTAAACCTCAGAATTGGACTTTCCACCCCAACCCCTGTGGCATGCCATCCTTTCGGAATCCCTTCCATTCACTTCCCTTATTTAGCACTTGGGATCTCTCCCGTGAACAAAAATGAGCAAACAAGTTATAAATCACCCAGCAACCAAGAAATTGTTTGGGAAACCTTACCAAAGAGGCTGATTGGGGAAGTTTGGGGGAGGGGGCAGTCATTCCAGCCGTGAATAGAATTATTTCTCTCTGCAGTCCAGTGGATGCACAGGCAACCTAGCTGCGGGGTATTCTCTTTATTCCCGCCCGGGGCGAAACCAGGGGCGGCGGCGACCCCCGGGGCTGCGAATTCCAATAAGTGGCCGCCGCTCCCAGGTCCCGGTGTTCGCGCCCCGCGCTGCCCGGACGCTAGAGCAGACCCCAGACCCGGGGGCGAACCTTATCTCTGGTGCCCGGCGCGAGTCCATAGGTTTCTCAAGTGTTCGGGAGTCAAGACTGGCTCCGGAAGATTTTGCTGGAAGGGCAGTTAAAAAGCAGGATCCCTTTTAAGCGGAAGACCTGAACTCCCTGTAGTCTCTGGCTTCTAACTCTCGCTTATAGTCTACCCTGCGCCCTAAGAAGTTGGCCCTGAAGTTTAAGGTTGCGGGTGTGTGTGGAAGCTTGTAACGGTGGCGGGGATCCCAGCTGGGGAGGATGGAACAAGGGGACACGCACCGATGCCTCCCCAGGGTCCCAAAAACACTGGCAGACCCCGCTCCAGGCCCGGAATCCCACCCGCGCAGGGCAGGAGGGTTGCTGGCGCGCGCCTCCCGGGCTTGGGGTTTGCGAGGGGAAGGCGGAGCGGACTTGTGGGGTGGGGACGTCGGGCTAGCCAGGTTGGGTGACCGACAGCGTGGCCAGCCACTGGCCAAGGGCGGTCGGGAAGCTTAGGGCTGGCATGAGCGCGTGCGTGTGTGCGTGAGTGTGAGTGCGAGTGTGTGAGCCTCCCCCACCCCCACCTGTTTGAGATGTTTTTAATATGCCTAAGCCGGACTATGCATGTTTCCAAAGTTGCAAATAATTGCAGGCAACCACGAGCGCATCCCCTAACTCCCGAGGGACTTGCAGAGTCAAGGACACTGGACCAAAGGAGAAATCAGAGGGGTATGAAGAGGGTGTAAGTTGCCTGCCACTGAGGTTCGGTTTTAGGACCCAACGGGAAGCCCTTTGGAATCTCTCCCTTCGGGAGGGAGGGGTGGGGCGGGCCGGGCGGCGGGCGGCCGCGGGACGCATGCGCGCGCGTCTGCTCCAGCCGGCCGCTGCGCTCGGCAGCGCGGAATAGAATGAACTGTAACAAAACAAGGCTGGCCTTTGTATCTGCTTAAAGGGGCCGCAGGCGCTTCCCTCCCGAGCCTCCCTCCCCCCCAGCCCCGCTCGGCAGCCGCGTCTCCAGGGCTCCCAGCAACTGACTAGAAGGGCTTCCCTGACCCTCGGGGACGGCCCGCCTGCGAGGAAAGGCGAACCGGGCGGGAAGCAAAGAGGAGACGCGGCATTTCTAAGAGGCAAGAAAGAAAGGAAGGAAGGGGAAAAAAATACCCCAAGCAGCGCACAGTGGACTCTGGTCGTGGAGAGCACCGTCGGGCGCCGAAACGTGGACCAGGAGGCACCGGAATGCAAACAAAGCTCGCAGGCGCCTTTGCAGAGCTCGCGGGGAAGCCGAGAAAGTTTGTTTTATGATGGCTTGAGTGCACGAGTGTGTGCAGGGGAGCGAGGTTGCCAAGTTTCTCTCTCCCGTTGCATTATTGGGGGGGCCGGGGACAGGGAGATGTCTCTCCCATGAACCAGCGGAGGCTTGGGGTCTTGTACTGTGGGGGGCACCTGCCTCTCATTTTATTATTATTCTTTTTTTTTGGGGGGGGGAGGAGGGGTGTAACTCATAATGTCGAAAGTGATCCAAAAGAAGAACCACTGGACTAGCAAGGTTCACGAATGCACCGTGAAGCGGGGACCCCTGGGCGAGCTTGGGGTGACGGTGCTGGGGGGCGCCGAGAACGGGGAGTTTCCGTATGTCGGAGCGGTCGGAGCTACCCAGGCGGCCAGGCTTCCCGGAGGCGGCGAAGGCCCGAGGCTGAGCGAAGGGGAGCTGCTTCTGGAGGTGCAGGGGATTCGGGTGTCCGGCTTGCCCCGCTATGACGTTCTGGGAGTCATCGACAGCTGCAAGGAGGCCGTCACCTTCAAAGCCGTCAGACAAGGTAAGACGGGACGCACCTCCGGGAGGCGCCCCCAGCAGAGGGGAGCCTATGTGCGGTTCCCCTCTCCCCCCCAACCCCCCTCGATTTCCCGCTTTCCTCTGTCGAGCGCAGCGTCGAAGGAAATAGAGACCATGCCCCCTGTGGTGGTGAAATACAGAAAGTTGTTTTGAGTTGCTGGCCCACCTGCGTTGGGAAGAGGGGGGCTCCGTTTGCTCAGAGAAACCGGGGCTTGTTTTCCACAGGCCTGGTTTGCCAACCTGTTATCTCAGCCACCAAGGGCTGCGCAGCTTTGTCAGCGCCTGAAGGAGAGTTGGGGGACTGAGGCTGGGCAAAGGTGCCAGCTGTCCTGGCTCCCTGGAGCACCGATGCAGCAGGCGCCGCTGCCGCGTACTTTGGCCACTCGTCTGTTTTCAAACCTGGAGAATGGGTATGAAGGAGCAGATGGTGTATGGTTTTTGGAAAATAGTGTCCACCCACACCTCTCCAGGTGGGTTCGGGCATGACCGCCTGGCAGTTCCTAAGGCTGCCGCCTGAAGATCCTGCATTCTCCCCACAGCTGAATGACGCATATGTCTCCAGCTTGTGGCCCAGTCACAGGGGTGGGGGTGGGGGGGGAGTTATTTCTCTCTCACCGTGAATCAAGCCTTCAGCGACCTTTGCTACTACCACCATCATCATCTTCATCATCACCATAATCGATAATGGTAATCATGATCGCTATTATTCATTGTTAGCTTTCTTTAAGCCAGCCAGACTCCCCTGTAAAATGTTTTATTCACAATTCTAAGAGTGAGTTATTGTAAACTACCCATACTGCAGGTAAGGAAACTGCGACTGATAGTGTTTAAATTACTTGCCCAAGGTCACACATACACTAAAAGTGAGGAGTTGAGTCCTGGCTGCAGAGCCTTAAACCCCAGGAGGAATTGGTATGGGATTACTAACCCCTGGGGACTAAATGGACCGATTTGTGAGAAGGGAGTGGAAGACAATTCCTTTGTCAGATACCTGGAGAGGAGTGGTGACCTCTTGTAAGAGGCATTCCGTGGCTGATGGTGGTGGGGTTCCTGACTTCTCAGTTTTGTGCAGGCTCTCCCTTTATCAGCTCAACACACCCAACTGCCTTAAAGGGGTTTCCTTATACAACCAAGCAGTGTGACACAGGTTCTCCCCCATGAAAGCAGCAAAGGAGGTGGCAATGTTGAGTGTGGTGAAAAGTTCCCATATGTGCCTGCTGGGCTGGGGGGATGAGCAGCAGCTGGAGGAATGTGTCAAAGGAAAGGAGAGCAGAGATGGTCCTCTCTTGAAACAGGCCTGTTCCAGATGAACCTAAGAGGGGGGCAGGGAGTTAAAGGGGGCCTTTTGGTAGCTTTGGGACTAGAGTGACTGCCACTTAGCGATAGACAGCTCTTTTCTTTCTAATCTCACCCTCCACTTGGACACCTCCTCCAAGAAGCCCTCCAACATCCTTCTAGGAGAAACAAATCCTTCCTCTGGGCTCCTCTAAATATGTACCTTATAGTTTTTTACTTATTCTGAACATGAATTAGGTACTCCCCTCATTTCCATACAAGACAGTAAGCTAACTGAGTGGAGAGATTGTACCTCACTCATTGCAATCTCCCAAGGTTTTCCTTGAGGCCCCAGTGTCCTCACCTGTGTCCTCATCTGTAGACTGGCTTTCTTGTGGGTATTACATAAGATGCTAATATGAGGACAGTGTGCAGAACAGTGTCTGGCACATAGAAAATGTTCAGTAAAGATTAGCTATTATTGTTATATTCAAATTGAATTTGAGCAGTTACTTATGACTAAGTCGAGGATTTTAGCATTAGGAGCCTAGATTATGAATTTAATAATTTGTCTTGGTAGATTTAATAGGGCTGCAGAGGAAGTACTGTGTTAAGGAATTTGATGGGAACAGATGCAGGTCTCAATTCAGAGGCATATGGAGAAAGGACTGGAGGAAGGCCAGGTAGGGACACCTGCCATTGAGAGACCTGCCTATTCCTCTCTAATAGATCCTGTATGGGAACTTGTTTTCATTGGGTAAGATGCTGCATATTACTGAACCTTCTACTTCCATCATTTATCAAAGATGTGTCAGGCATTGGCAAAGGATTGTCTCATCAGAGAATTTAGGAAGGATTGGCCAGATAATCAAGTGTGTTTGGAAGCAGACTCCCTGGGGTTGCAAGGAAGCGATAGTGTCTTTAGGTGTTATTTCCTTCACCCAGAACCCTTCTGTGCACTGTACAGGAGTGTTTATAGCAGGTGTGTGTGTGTACATGTGTGTACGTGTAAATCTATTTGCTCTCCTTTCAATGGGATAGAATAAATATGTGGATGAAGATGCTCAGATGGCCTGGTATTCACTATAACATGAAAGCTACTATTTCACAGCTCTTGGAATGTCTTTATTACAGTAAAGATGGTACTGGAAAACATTTCACCAGTCTTCTGTGATGAAAAAGACAGGTGAAATTGTAATGAGAATATGATTTAAACTATATGACAGAATTGCTCTTACTGTGTCTTTACTGATGTGCTTTAATCATACTAGGTGGTTCATTTTGGAAGAGAGTGAAGGAAAATGTGACTTTTGTGTTGTCTTGCATCCTGAGCTAACCATTGCCAGCGACATGGGTCATTCTGGGTACTTTGTGTGGAAATGTCACGATCTTCTTGTGGGAGAGAATTCTGCTGTTTCTATTTCATGGCAGCTCTCTGGAAAGATGCACAGACCAAAATAGTCTATAGCAAATGGTATTATATGAAGGAGGACTGGATTATGAAGGAATCAAACTAAGTGGCTCTACCATTTCGTTTGGAGTAGATTCATTTTAAATGGAGAAGACAGTCTTTTGTCACCAAGGATCTAAGAAAAGATACATATATCTTATGTATAGTGTTACTTCATATATGTAATAAAGCAATATATGCTTTGTAGTTATAGATGTTCCTAGAGTAAAATGCACAGATCTTAAGTATATAATTTGATGAGTTTTGACAATTGTATATGCCTGTGGGTCAAGATAAGAAACATTTCTATCATCCCATAAATTTCCCTCATGACCTTCTTCAGTTAGTTCCCATCCCCTCCTCCAGAGGCAAGGCTTTGCATGATTTTTTTCACCATGGGTTAGTTTTGAGTGAAATAATGCAGGATGTACTCTTTTGTGTCTGGATTTTTTCACTGTGCAAGATATTTTGGCGATCACAATTCATTGTGTTCTTTTATATTGGTGAGTGGTATTCCATTGTACCCATATATCAGTTTGCCTTTTTGCTTGTCAGTGAATTTTGAACTATTTATCATTGTTTGCTATTGCTATTATGAATAAAGCTGTTATAAATGGTCCAGTTGCTCCACGTTCTTTATGAATCTTTGATCTTTTGTGTATTTTGAATTTTAGCCATTCCAGTGTATGTGGAAAAAGGGAAAAAAGTAATTAAGGAAACTTTGCTGTAGGATGCACTAGCATTTATGAAGCACTTGTGGTAGTATGTACTAAGATCTTGGCCAAACAAGTGCTTTATGGGCACTTTGTTCTTCAGGCCTCACAATTGAACTCATGTGTGGGGAAAGTGAAGTTCAGAGTGTTTGGGGAACTTTACCAAAATTCATCCTGGTGGTAGAAGTGGAGGGGAACTCAGCTGTGCTGGATCCCAAAACCTGTGCTCCCAATTCCTGAGTCATTGGGTGTCGAAGTAGGGTCCCCAAACCAGTGTTTTTTTTTTAAAGATTTATTTATTTATGCATACAAGAACTGGGGTACAGGCCAGAGGTGACGGGGTGAGAGGATTCACCAGAGACAGAGTGAGGAACAGAACAGAAGAATCGACTGAAATACACTGCTGAGGGAAGCAGCAGGTGAGACAGGAGAAGTCTGCTGTGCCATGTGGGTTGCTCCCTGGCTGGGCATTGAACTCGTGCTGCAGTGGCTGCGGACAGCTCCATAGGTTCCATCTTAACCCCTTGCGCCACCAGGGAGGCCCCCCCAAGCCAGTGTTATTAATGTCACCTGAGAACTGGTTAGACATGCAGTTTCCAGGGCTTCGCTCCAGGCTACCAAACCTAAAACTCAGGGAGGTGAAACCCAATGGGTATTTTAAACCCTCAGGTGATTCTGATGCTTGCTCACTATTGACTACCACTGCCCTGAGGAATAGGGTGTCATTGAGAATATGACATCAAATGAGGTAGGTCACCTGAGTTCCAAAACAAGCTCTTTCAGTGAGTGCTGTCATCTCCTGCAAGTTACCTCTTTTGGCCTAAGCATTCTTCATGCAAAAATTAAATGGGCATGGCCCTTGAGGTCTTTCATACTCATGAAATGATGTGGTTCCATGAATAACCCAGACACCAAAAGGTTTAAAATGGTGATTGTAGTTTCCCAAATGGGTAATATGATAGGCCATGCTTACACAATTTCGTAGGTGAATTCTGTGGTTTTGCAGATTATCCAGGAACTTAAACTTGTCCCTCCATGGTTTTTTCAGGCAGAATGGAGACAATAAATAAGATGCAATTTAAAAACCACAACATCACCGCCAGTCGCCTCCTCCCATCTCTGTAATGAGGGAATTATGACCACATGCGATTGAATATAGTTCTTTGTGTCTTTGTTTTTGTTTTGGAATATATTATGACAGCTCTGTGACAAAATAATTCTGTTTTTACTTTAATACACTGTGTCTTATCTTTGTTGGTTTCCCCCTGAATTCCTGCTTCAGGGTCTCTGGGCTTGTTTACTCATTCCCCCTACATGGTCACAAGATTAACTCTTGCTCTTAGTGACTCTTCTGAGGGACCTTCATTGATGGCCTCATCAGGTGGTATGCTGTAAATGCTCAACAACCGGCACTGGTAGAAGAGAGATGATTTGACTTGTAGCATAAATCGAGTTGGGTAGAGAGACATAGACTTCATTTTCCTCAGCCAGCATGAGCTGGCCCCAGCTCCTTGTGTCATTGTGTTTAATATCATCACAACCTTG